TTGAGTAATTGATCACAAATTACCAAATACTTGGTCACAGACCACTGACACTATCACTTCCACCACCAGCCATCGCCACTAACCACCACCAACAATAACAACACACCACCTCCTCATCCTCACAAAAAAAAATCACCATTTTCACCACAAAAATCACATCCACAGCTGCCACCACCACCACACAAAATACCACACATCGCTGTAACCACACCACGACCGCCGCCACCACCACCACCACACAAAACACCACACCATACCACACCACTCCCACCTGCAGATCCACCCTGCATCAGTCGACAAGCGTCGTGACGCTGTCGCTGCATCTGTAGGCACAGCGTTGAGCATCGCGACGCTACCATTCACGACAACGTCGCACCATTCATACAGAGAGAAATGATAGAGAGAGGAGAAGACGAGAGGCGAGAGAGATAGGAGGGGAAGACGACGAAGGAAAAAGTGCGACAATGCTGTGGATTTGCTTCGGGGCGGCGCGGTGGATTTGCTTTTGTGTAATCTCCTCTTCATTGCAGCAGCACCGAAGCGCTACGTCGTCGGACCAACGATAGAGATAGAGGAGTGGAGATTTACATGGAGAGGGAAGGGGAGAGAGAGAGAGAGGTGGGGAAGTTGAGAGTGAGAAATTAAGGTTATGGTATTAATATATTATCTGATTTTTGAATAAATAAATTTTGTACGTGATTTTTAAAAAAACTATCTTTAAACTCCTAATTTTTTATAATTTTCCAAATTTATATTTTAGAAAAATGGATTTCAGGGCCACTCAAACATCACGTGATGTCATATCTTTATCTGATTTTAGATAAAGCTGATACCGAATCCAAAGCCAGTCTATTCCCTCCAGACCCTTTTTTTAATTAAATTCACAATCTATTGGATCTAAACAATTTGAACTCAAACATCACGTGATGTCATATCTTTAGCTGATTTTAGGTAAAGCTAATACCGAATCCAAAGCAAGTCTATTCTCTCTCCCCCCTCCCCCCTTTTTAAATTAATCCACAATCTATTCGACTTTAAAACAATTTAAATTAATTATTTGTTGTGGAAACTATTCGTGTACAGTGCATTGCACGAAAATAAAGATCAAAATTTTTTTTATTGCACATGAAAATATTTATTTCATTTGAAAAATAGGCAAAAAACTTGTGTGGACTTGTATACCTAACACGTGATTCATGATATTCCTTAACTACTTAGGATCCATTTGACTGGCAAAGATAGAATGATTTTTCAATTCCATGTAAGTTGAAAAATAAAAATTAAAGTACTCCATAAGAATGCATTTTCCATAAAATTGACAAAAAACAAGTTTAAAGTGGTTATACCTTGAAATTCGAACTTTATTTTCACTTTCGTATCAAACAATTAATGTAGAAATTGAATTCATCGGATGTGACATTTTTCATGAAATTTAAACCAATCAAACAGACCCTTGGAAAAAAAATAGCTAAAAGTCGCTTTTAAACAAGATTGGATATCTACTAAATAAAATTATAAATATGTCATGATAAGTATTTACCTTAAAAATGTTGTTATTGAGTTGAATTTTACATATATGCTTGTTTGGGAAAAAAATATAATGAAAAAAAGTAATGAGTTTTAGAAATGTGTATATAATAAATGAATAGTAAGGATGAATATAATTAAAATTAATACTAGACTTTGATTAAAATCAAACAAATACATATTTGAAAGAAATTACTTTCATTAATTACCATTAGTTGTGAGAGTCGATGCATTCAACTAGTGATGTCAAAAAATTGAAACCTAACGAGGCTCGTGTTTAGTGTGTCATGGAATTTCCAATTCACTTGCGAATAATGTAGCTCGTTAGTTAGGGCGTCTCTAATTTATATCCCATTGCACCTCACCAAATTTTTGGTACAATCAATCTCGAACTCATTGCACTATTTTAGTGCAAATGAATAGCGTTGCAAACTAATTTTTTGTTAAGGGTATTTGTGT